CTAGGGAAGGAAATACCTCCCAACTACGGATCTTTCCCAGTCATTGCCCTGACAACCCCTCCAAGGAAGGTGTCTGGTCCCAGGACAGCTCTGCCATTATCAGAGAAGGTCAGTAGCCTCACCAGTGGCAGGAGGCAGGCTGGCCCGGTGAGGGTTAATCTGCCGGGCCAGCCATTACAGGGGTCACCGTGATGTGCAGAGAAGTTGAGCATCCCAGTCCCCCAGAGCTGGTCTGCTAATTACATTTGCAATTATAAACACCACAACCTCCCTGCACAGGGACGAAGCCACACCAGCCGACGGGGCTACCAGGATATAATCCCACCCCAGCCATGCCAGGGGCCACCAGGGCCACCCAAAGCCTATGAGCCCCTCCTCTGAGGGAAGACCACATCTGTGACTGTCCCCAGAGGTCTAAGGCTGCTGGGGCTGAGGAAGGGGAAACCCACCAGAGAAGGGGAAACAGCCCAATCAGGGGTCACCAGCTCATACATGCTAAAAAGGTCTTTGATTTATCTCTAAAAATCAGCAAAGGCTTCAAGTACAAAGCAGGATGTTCAGGAAGACTCTGGACCAGATATGCCTAGTTCCAGTCCATTCTCAACTTGTACCCTCCTGGCTTCCTGGGGTCCCTCCTCAGACTCTGCACTGGCAGCACCTCTAGGGGCTGTGGAGTCACTGGAGGACCCCAGAGGCTGAACATTCAAGCCAAACTGAGGCTCCCCATCCCAGTAACTTTCAGTCAAGAGCCACCAGACTCCATATGGAACTGTGCGGCATCCTCGCTAATTCTGGACAGCACTCCTGCTCAGCAGCAAGAGCACTTAGAGGGTCTCACTTCAGAGAGAAATGGACAGAGACCCGACGGTGGCCGGTAGGTGTGGCGGGACACCAGAATGGAGGTGATCAAGGTGTGGTGTGGGATTTACTTTGAAAGAAGACATTACGGTCTAAGTATCTGCTACCTCTTCCCTTAAATTTGGAACCAAAAAGAACTGTAATCATTTTGAAGTCACTTAAAGGGCCTGGGAAGACAAGTACTAGAGAAGGGTGCTGCAGAGGCAGGCTAAAAGCATCCTGTGTCCTGTTGTCTACTGTCTTTGAATTCTGTCCTCTGCTGAATCCCAGTCATTCATGGCCAACGCCACCGCTCACCCCAATGCACACACTCCCTCAATGTCTCTCTCACACCCATCCTTCCTCTGGCCCATCAGAGGTAGGCAGAGCTTTGCTTAAAAGAAACAAGGCGTTCTGCAGAGGACCGAGGAAGGGGACAAACTTTTTTAATGAGTTTAGATGATCTTTAAGAACCACTTGGCAAAATGTCCCATTATCAGAAATATAAATGGAGCGCAGGCAGGACAAAGTTATAAGGGCCCTCGGGCTAGGGCTGGGGGTGCTGTGAGAAGTCAGGATGTGACATGAAATCTCTGTCACCGCCACCTCCTTCGAAGTGCTTTCCCCGAAAGTCCCCTCTGCCCCTCCTCTCCCAGACTAAATGGAATATTCATTGATTACTCCAAATCAATAGAATAAAAAGGTTCCTGTTTGGTGGCCAGGTTCTTTGTGGGTTTTTTGGTAAGAAACCGATTTTTTTCATGTGTCCTCATTATCAGCAAAATAAAGGATTGTTTCTAAAATGAAAAGCGTTGGGGGAAGTAACAAACTCCAAGAGGAAATTTCCAGTGATGTCAGGATCTCACTGAGCTGGAAAGGGCCTTACCCCGGACAGGGGCCTCCAACATTCACATAAGGTCTCCTCCCAGTTTGTCGCTTTCAGGCCTGAACACCTCCCACCTCCTGTCACCCATCCTCTTCCATGGCAGCGCATACCTCCAGCAGGGCACATAAAGGTTTATTTCCTAGAGCCCCTCCCTTGGAAAACCGAGATTAATGTCCTCACTCTGATTTATTTTTAAATGTACCATTAAAAATTAATTTCCCCCTTTGTTTTTCTCCGGGTCACTGACTCTGAATTACCATGTGGCATTTTTCCTACGTGTGAACCCACATATTTAACTTCAGGACAGTTTGTTCTTTGTTTCTTTAACAACAGCAAAGTGGTCATCGGACCGAGGGGAAGACACCCCCCCAGGCTGTGTGCCGTGGGTCTCCAGCTGGTCCAGTCATGGACCCATTTGTACACAGACACACACAGGCGAGCACGCTGCCTTCCACTCTGCTCTGGCTGATTATATATGTACATAAAATATTGATTAGAAAGGATAATGGAGTCACCTACAGGATTGGCTACAGGAAAATGAAAATGAAGGAGAGAAAGGTAGGAAGGTAAGTGTGTGTGTTTCTCTGTGTGTGTGTTATTTCTCACTTGGGGAAGTGAGAATGACACTACAGCATTCACAAATGCTCTCCGTGTGTTAGAAGCAAAAGGGAGGACCAGAGAGTGCTTCCTCCCTCAACTCGTTCCTGTGCCCTTGGGTTTTCTCAAGTCTGGGAAGGTCAACCAATCCACATGGGTCAAAACTCTGAGTAGAACATACATGAACCCACTCACTAAATGTTCTCTGAGAAACACTGGCACTGTAATGAATGGCTTTGTCCTACTATCCTTCCACCAAACCAAAGAATCCAGTCCCCCGCTCTGTTACTTTGCTATCCATGGCTCTAAAGCTATGTCACAAAGCCCTGGGGTAGAGGTCAGAAAGATGTCTCCCCAGACACCAGCCCCTGATACCAGCCCCCGATCTCCACAAGCCCGTCCTTGAAATGATGCCCCTCTATGCCACAGCATACGCAGACCCTCCCCGGGCACACATCTGTATAGGAGCCCAGCTCACCAGTGCCTGGGCTGCTGCCCAGCGGGTCCTGGGCTTTGAGAAATGACATCTCACAGGGGTGCTCAGTTCCTCGGTGGAGGCGGCAGGTATATTTTTGGCTTTTCCTGCGCCCTGTGGAGTGAGAAGCTAATTCTTTGCAAAGAAACTGGGAAGAGCTGGGGATCTAAACCCCTGTCAAGCTTCGTTTATAAATGATTTCCACTTCAAACCTTTCCCAGACCCCCAGGACCTCGGCTCCCTCACTTCCTTCTGCTGCTTTCCCTGACATTGCCTTTTTGCCCATATTTCTCCTCAAACTCCAGTCAGGGCTGCCGTCAACTCGATGAATTACCCAGCTGTTAAAGCCTCCATCTCAACCCTTGCTTTTCTGGTCAGCATAATCAAATAATGTACTTCCTTCATACGAATTTTCATATTAATTGACTATGACTTGAGCCAGGGACAAATACATAAGTATTTCATGCTCAACTAAAGAAGTCACCTCTGGAGAGAAGGAGCCTTAATAATTTAAATATCCAATATTTGTCATACTTGATCACTTTATGTAAGGAAATGCCCCACAAGCACCAAATACTGTCCACAGCCTCACTAACCTCACGTTCCCCCCACCCCATCCCCACCCCAGGTAGGCAAGCTGAAATCTAACCTTTAAAGGGAGTGAAAGGCACTTTTCAAGCTGATGGAAATCTGAATCCATTATGATTAAGGATTCCTCTTCCAGACCAGCGCCTTAGACATTCTGGGGGCATCTAAAGGGCCCTCTGCCCCAGGGCGGAGTGGGGAAAATCCCCAAGCTAGAAGCAGGGACAGTCTGGTCAACAACACAAGCCCTGCCGTGGAGCTGCGCTCTCTCTAGCGCGGGTGTACAGTGGTGGATGTGGTCGGTGCAGACAGGAGAGGAGCAAGGTGCTTCCTGGGACCCCACATTATCCACAGTATTTATTTTAGAGGTGTAGTCGTGGTTCTTCCTGGGAGGGGGAACGAGTGGTACAAAAATGAAAGGACCTTGGAGCTGGAGAAACGCTGACTTTGATAGTTTAGTTTGCGTCAGAAAAAGGAAGAAGAGCACAAAGTTAAGCAGGAAAGCTGTCCGTGAGAACCTAGAGTTGTATTTTACTATTATTGTTAAACCTTCCGAGGAACCGCTTTGCACACGCATACACCCTGACTCCGGGACACCCTCCAGGCGGGCCGTGGGGTGCGCAGCGCCCTAGAGGAGACCCAGGCAGGTACCCGAGCAGGTGGGGCAGCGACCGTGGAGGAGGGAAACCTTCTAAGGTTTCCCTTAGGAGGATAGACTTAGACCCCCCGCCCCCCTAGAGCCCGGACAGATCACGCGGGTTGGCCACCCGCTGCTTGGTCGATCAGGTCACTTTCCCACTCCGCGCTCTCGGTGCGCTGCCCCGGGGCTGGGGACCCGCGGTTCCTGAGAGTCGCTTCTGGAAGCCCCGGCTGCCGCCAGCGCCCACGCTGCTCGCTCGGATAACCCCAGGTTCTGGCACCGCGAGCGCAAAGCTGCCTCAGGGCAGTGAAATAGTGCCCGTCTGTTCCGCGGGGCACAGCCTCCCGCAAAGCGGTGAACGAACTTTGCCTACGACGCAGCGCTGGGCCCGCATCCCCCGGGCGCCCTGGATCCGCCGCGCCACGTGCGCACCCTCGGGGCGCCCCTCAGGGACCGTGGGGCGAACGTGGCACTGGCCACATGCAGTTTCCAAACCGACACGGCGCGTTCGATTGTTCGATTTTCTCTCTCTTGCCGGGATCATTTTTGGTCCCCAGGATGAAAATAATAAAAGAAAGCGCCCGCAGGAAGGCTTTCTCTGACCGGACGGGACCTCCTTGCAACCACAGCCCTGCACCTGTTTTGGGCTTCTGCCTCTTCTCTTGCTCCACTCCACAAAAACTCAAATATTTTCTCACCCCGGAGCAAGATCAGAGAGGAGAGAGAAAGGGAGAAAGTGCGTGAGAAAGCGCCACTCTTGCCTCAAAGTGTGGATTTGTAAAAGAGGGAAAAGTTAGGACAGGTTTACGCCTGAGAAAGAAACCCAGAAGTGTGCGGCTTTCGCCCTCTACGTCCCCTAAGTGCCCCCTGAAGTCCCTTCCACTTTTACACAAGAATGTGCAGAAGAGGAACTGCGATCCCCAGGACAGAGACGGCCGGACAGGCAGAAGGACAGACAGACCGAGAAGCAGGGCACCTACTGGTTGTGGTAGCCGAGGGGGTCCGGGATGCAGAGTTCGGACACGTCCATCAGTCCCGTTTTAGCATTCCCAGTTGGTAGAGAAAGGCGGCGGGGAAATCACGCGGAAGAGCGAGTGAAGGGCACGGGCAAGGTGCGAGCCCGGGCAGGGCACAGTGAGCGCGAGAACGCAGAGTGGGAGGACGCGGCCGCGGCTGGGGAGTGGGAGGCAGAGAGCCGCGCGCGCACCGCCCGGCGCTCCCACTCATCCGCACGCTCCGGAGCGAGCGGGCAGAGGGGATGCGAAGCCGTGGAGGAGGCTGGGGCACCAGAGACTTGGAGCCCACTAACCCTACTGTAGCTTTAAGGCTGGGAGACTGATGTATGGTTTGGCTCCTATTGGCTATCTCTCAGGGGCTGGACTTAAAGTGACAGAATCAAGCTGGGGTGGGGGGAGGGGGGTGAGCCAGAGAGACCTCAATGGAATAAGACGCTCTGCGCGGGAGGTCCCCACCTTCTGAGCAGTAGGAGTACTGGGTGGTAGAGCCCTAAGGCCTGCCTTCTCGCAGTTAAAGGGGGGAAAATGCCCAACTGCCAGGTGGGTCTGGGGTGGGGGGAGATTTGCTGCTTACATACCCCCCAGTCACCCCATCCCATCTTTTAACTGGCAGGCCTAGCAAACTCACCTCTCAGGATTTCTGCAATCGATTTGTTTTCCAAATTAAAAATGAGTCACATTTCTCCACCCACACGCCAAAGAGAAGAGGCAGCCTCAAACCCTGTGCAGTGTGGGCAAAAGTGCAAAGGGTCAGGCCAGCAGGTGAGGCACAGCAAGAAGGCAGGAGAGAAACAGATTCCCTTCCCAGCTCTTATCACCTGGGCCAGTCAGTTCTGCACCACTCTCATATGGCTAGATGCAGGGTGCGCATCTATAAAACGTTCTCTCACTGTATGAAGTGATGCTCTCGTCATTGGCAGCTCTCTGAAATGTACCCAGGACACAGATATGGGCAAATAAATTTCTGTCTGCTTAGGAAAATACAATCGTTGTGAAAATTATCAACTTACCTGCCACATCCACTCCAAGGCACAAGCACACACTTTGAAATACACACCTGAATCCCCAGCTACAAACACCTGCATCCCCATCCGCTGCTCCCTCAGTGAACCTGAATATTATGGGCTGCCACTGTACCAAAATGAGCTGTAAGTCATGCCCCAACTCTGCTTCTGGGGTTTTTCATCTTTTGAGATGCGCCAGCCACAGGGATAATAATCAATTTGATGATTCAAATGAGTAGGGGGAGGGGGGTAGGTATAGAATTATTTAAAAGGGGGAAAAAGCCCTCAGGAGAGACCACCACCTATTCTCCTATATTCTGCAGAAGACAATGAGCAGTAGGGGGGAAGACATAATTTTATCATCAAAATAATGTCTAAATGGAGTGTAACTGCAGGCAATGTTCAAGCACTTCAGGAATAAAAGCAGGGAGGGTTGTGAGAAACCCCAGGAGGGGCTGGCTGCCCGGGCAGGGGCTGGGGGAGTGGGCAGCAGGATGGCAGATGATTTTTGACTTGGATAAATGCGCTCGTGCAGGCTGGGAAACAGAGCTGAGATTTTTCACATGTGCTGAAGTGGAGGGGCGAGTGGGATTCTGGGCTCAAGGCTCAGGAAGGCATCTCACAGAGAGATGGATGAAGACGTCTCCTCTGTCAGTAGCCCCCCAGCAGCCCCCGATTTTTTTAAAAATCACACAGGCACTTCATCAGAGAAAGAAAGAAGGGTGCAGAGATGCGTCCCTTGAGCCTGGCTTCTACATGACCATCATCTCTTGCCAAGACCTCAGTGACTGGTTTCTCCACATCCTTTCTGCCCCACTGAAATCCATTCTGCAGGCACACAGCAGCCAGGGAGTGCTTTGCAAAATGCACACCCAATGTCCCGTTGTTGTAATCAGGAAAGAGGCCCCAGTCCTTGGCCTCCAAGGAAGGCGTCCTATGACAGGTTTCTGCAGGTCCCTCTGTTCCTCTCCACAGCCCCTGCTGCCCTCCCTCTGTGCCCCAGTCTTTGTACCTGCCATCTAGAAGGCCTCACCTTCCATGTCGTGCCAGCACTTCCTCTGGTTCACTTTGCTTTGGGTAATTTATCACAGTTTGCAATTGACTGCGCACTGGCATGAATGATACTTCCCTCCTCCGCCCTTCTCTCACTAGACTGCAAGCTTCATGGGAGCAGGGACCATGTCTCTTTTTGTTCACGAGAGAATCCCTAGCATCTAAAGGTGCCTGGCACATGACAGTTGCTTGGTGGAGATTTTGCGGAATGAATGGTTAACCGGTAGTCGTTTGGAGTGGAATGCCACAGCCTGCTGAGTGACAGACCATTGCCCAGGAAGAAGGTGAGGCCCTGATGGGTTGTCTGGGGCCCTTTGACTCCTTACTCTGTGTGGGTGCACCATTTTTAACTGGAAACAAAACACATTTGGTAGAAACAAAGTATTCTTCATCACCTGAAAAGAAAGACCACTTCACAGCCCAGAGCAGTGGATTCAAAGCCACTGGGAGCAAATGAGGAGAAACTGGAGTCTGCATTGGCTAAAAGACTAGGCTAACGCTTGCATACAATTATTCTCTGCCTCTAAGGTCCAGGCACAAAGGTGACCCAGGGCCTCATCTCTGGACACTAGCTGATTGTCTTCCAGGCGGGAATCAGTTCCTGGAGACCTAGGCTTCCTCAGCCTTCCTCTGCCTGAGCCTCCTCTCACACTGCCCCAGGGCCAGATCTTTCTCTTTTCCTTCCTGACTCTGCAAGAGCAGGAATCAGGGCCAGCCGCCCGGACACCCTAGTGGCATGATCCAACTTGGCAGGCCCAGGCTCCTCCTGTGATTCTCCAGACTAACCTGCCCGGGTCCCACACTGTGCATGGCGCCCACATTTTTCCTGCTGTGCTCTCAGCCAGCTCATGGAGGATGGATTCCTTCCCAAAGCCAGGGTCAGGCTCCATGCCTCTGGCTGGAGAGGCAGCAGTGTGGGACAGTAAAGGACTCTGGGATTGGGTCCTGACTTCTCTGTGTGACCTTGCCAAAGTCATCTCTTCTCCAGAAAACGAAGGCTGTGCAGGGGTGGAGTGGGGCGGGCAGGGTTCTTGGGTTTCTTCAAGCCTAAAATGCAGTCAACCAATCATGATTTCTTTTACTGCCCACCTGAGAGCAGGAGCTACTTGTAATCCATGCCCAGCAAGAGCTCTAAGCCACCCCTTCACTACCCTCTGCCCCAGTACGGGCATCCCCAGGTGGGCAAGTCAGCCGAAAGTAAGGGGACAAAAGCTATTAGATGCAGTAAGTGTGGAGGGTATAAGGTGACAGCAGCTTACACTGTTTTTATGACAAACATCTTTAAATTGATATTCATTACATTCACAGAACCTTACAGCTAGGAGGGACTCAGAGAATCATTTAGAATCATCATCAGATTTGACAAAGGAAATTCGTAAATTTCCCTGTGTCGTGAAGTGACCTACCCAAGGTCACACAGAGAATATCTGGCAAAGCATGCCATCTGCCATCTGTGGTCATTGGAATTCTACTTATTCAATTCCTAAATCTTAAAAGACAAGTCTCTTTTCTTTCTTTCTTTTTTTTAGACAGGGTTTCACTGTGTTAGCCAGGATGGTCTCGATCTCTTGACCTTGTGATCCCCCTGCCTCAGCCTCCCAAAGTGCTGGGATTACAGGCATGAGCCAC